AGAACTATTCCTACTTGAGCCACTCCCACTTGTTTTTCCACATCCTACCGTGAAAACATAAACCTTGAAATCTTGACTAGAACCATTGATCATTATCGAGAGTTTTCTCAAGTGACTCCAATCATTTGAAATGTAATTAACTATAGTGGTTTGCCTTTATAGGGAACTTGGAACTCAGTTAAAATAAACCCTATTTAATCTTTGTATTAGATAGGGGAACTTGTCGGTCATACATAAAAAGGTTCGCAGACCAAACGGATGTCGCAAATCTCTTAGTTTGCAGGATTGGGTCTATTGCAGAGGTCTACACTTATCTTTCGGGAGGGTGTAGTATTCGCGGTATCAGGCACGATTATGCAAATTATTGGACGAATGAGAACCATTTGGTCTCATTTTTCAAAAATTAAAACATACTACTTTCAAAACCCAAAATATATATCTTTTATATTTAAATTAATTCTCAAAAATTATTTTCATATTCATATTTTCAAATTTATCAATAGAAAAGTTGACCGACAAGGCGCAGCAATTATTTTCAAATTTTCTTTACATATATGAAATGTTTAATTGGTCAAAGCTAGTTTTTCCAAGACGAGAGCATATTTGAAGCAAATTTCAAAGTTTAAAATGATATAAAATGCAAGATGCATGCATTGCGGCAAGTGAATTGTCATTCTTATTTATTATTATTTTTTTATTTGTTTTACTTTATTTGATTTCAATTTGGTAGTTTTCTGAATTTTTTTTCATAAAAGTTTCCAGTTTATCATGTTCATGATAATGCCTAAGAAGAATTATTTTGCTTTCCAATATTTGAAAGATTTTGATTAAGATGAAATATTCACTTCTAAGACAAAGAAGAAAGTACAAGAAGACTTTAGCACTGTAATTCATTCTCAAACAAATGATCAATCAGAACATATCATTCAAACATAAGAGAATTTATTGAGAGCTTTTCTTGACTTTGAAAGTAGCTAGAAAATAGTACTCTCTAACAAAAATTTTCTAGTTAGCATCAATCTCTTTATGGGGGAAGTGAGATCTTTTTGGGTAGGTTTAAGGTCGATGAGAGGAAACTCTTAGGAATTCAATTATTTAATCAAGCTACTAAGAAAATCCATTAGACGTGTGAATTACTGCATTCAAATCAGGAGCATCAGAAAAGATATTTTGACGCAAAACACAGAGAGATCGAGTTTAGAGCTTAGGGTTTAGGATTTAGGGTGAGGAGATGATGGTATTGTGGTATTGGTGACGGTGGTGGTGGTCATGTTGTGGTGGTGGTGTTGGTGTGGTGTGGTGTGGAGGTGGTGGTAATAGTGTTGTGTGGAGGTGATGGCGTGGTGTTATTGAGTTTTTAAGTGGTGGTGGTGTTGATATTGTGGGGTTTGTGGTGGTTGTGATGTTGTGTTTGTTGTGTGGTGTGGTTGTGATGTTGTGTGGCAGTGTTGGTGGTGGCGGTAATGTGGTGTGGAGGTGATGGTGTGATGATAAAGAGTTTTTAGTGGTGGTGGTGTTGGCAATGTGGTGGTGATCGTGGTGGTGATGTTGTGATGGTTGTGTGGTGTGGTAGTGGTGTTAGTCAGTTGGTGTAGTGCTGGTGATGTTGTGATGGTTGTGTGGTGTGGTAGTGGAGTTAGTCAGCTGGTGTAGTGCGGTGTGGTGTGGTGTGGTGTGGTGTTGGTGTTGTAGTAGTGGTGTGGTGTTGATATTGGTGGTGTTGGTCATGGGGGGTGGTGGTGATGATATGTTGATAGTGGTGGTGATGTTGTGGTGGATGTATAGTGTGGTAATGGTTTTGTGGTGATGTTTCTTTTCATTTATTTTTTGAGTTGTGATATCTTAAATGACACTTTATGTCTTAAGTGGTTTTGTAATGTAAATTTTTATTGCATTTTTATTTTTGTTTTGAAGGCCTGTAATGAGATATTTGACCTTATGGTTCTTTAGATGGTCTATATGTTGTTATTGGTACTTGACAGTATAAAATCCCAATGAATGTAACCAAGTTCTTCTCCTTTTTTAGTCCTATGGCTTTGGAGATTATTCTGGATGATTTTTTTAGTGATATGCATATGTAACACATACAAGTTCGGTATTATGTGGTTTAAAGACAACCAAAACCCCTTTTTTTATAAGGTTTATTATTTTTTGTAGTGACAAACTCGTTAATTTATACTATGCTTTCAGAGATCTCATAATTTCATAAAACTTGAATTATTTACTTTTACTATTTTTTATTACTAATGTTGCATTTATGGGTTTGTGCTTTGTAGTTTTAAACATTAAGAAACATTGAGCTCAAGGACTTCCGATACTTACAGAGCATTGTACTGCCATTGTAGACTATAATATTTCATGCTTACTTCGTGACGGCCACATAGCTATGAGAGACAGTTTTACAGGTGTCTAAGAAAAATAACAGAGAACTATGACTTCTTTAGGTGGGTGGATCGGTTCAAGAATTCCACCGCCGATAATGATCCGACGTTGAGAGTTTCATTGAAGAACGGATTCTCTCGTGACACTAACCAATTGTATTTTAAAACTAACATTATCATATTATTAATTGTTAATTTAGTGTTTTTTTTTTTTTTTTTTATTTTGATTGTCGTGTTACTCACAGCTTTATGAAGTGACTTTTTTTTTTATTTTGTAACACTCAAACTAGATATTTGCATTCAAGTGTGAAATGTGCTAGCATGATTGATTCTGTTAAAAACATCACAATTCTATAAGGGTTGAAATGTCATTTGTTCAAAAACATCTGTAGCGCAAATGTTACAAAACTGTAAAAATCAAACAAAGAGTCAGCTTCTCCGCAACAGTTTCCTGGCACAGGTGTTGCACAACAGCTTTTTCATAAGCTGCAGCTGCCCCAAACAGACCCTGAGACAAAGTTGTGTTGTGAGTTGGGGTCTCGGACTCTCGGATTGTGGTGTTTTAAGCAGAAGATGAAAGCATGGAGCAGGCGAGAGTTAGGCAATGGCTTGCAATATAAGAGACATGGGGCTATTTTATTATTAATATAATAGTCATTATTTCAAATTTTTTATTTATATGCCATAAATTTGCATGCAAAGACCCAACAATATGGGTGTCCTTACTTGGGAAAGTCATGTTTCAAACGTGCTCGCGCTGTCCGTTTTACGATCGATGTCGTTTGAGCAACTTCAACGACAGTCGGAATAATTTGATCCCGAATTACGCGTCAAGCCGGTGGCTTTGCCATTTTCATCATGTTTTTTTTTTCATTTTGGTTGTAATAGGTCCTCTCTTAAAAAATTTGACCCTCTAAATGTGCTCATGCAGTCCGATTTGCAAACGAACTTCATTTGAACAACTTTGATAATATTTGAAGTGAGTTAGCTTCTATTTTTGAAATTGGTTGTAATAGGTCCTCTCTTAAAAAATTTGACCATCTAAATGTGCTCATGCAGTCCGATTTGCAAACGACCTTCATTTGAACAACTTTGATAATATTTAAAGTGAGTTAGCTTCTATTTTTGAAACAGCACATTCATCGTTCATCACTATCCTTACATACAATCATTTCGACACTTGAATTATATGTGTAGGTCAACACTCTCAAATTTAGCAAGTTGCTCGTCATAAGCACGCATTATATTTGTTGTCATCAAATGTCGTAGATTTTTTGTAGGTTGGTAGAATTATGTCGGAACTCTATTAAAAATCATTAGATTTCTATTTGTTGGTATTTACCTTATCGATTCCAGTGTCTTGATAAAAACCAACTCCATAGATGTAATTAGATATACAATGAAATGATAAATGATTAATGAGTCCTATCTAGGGATGTTTGATTTTATTTAAAATGGTTGCATATGGAGGTGTTAGAATGGATATGCATTGTTTACAGCTTGTCAGCAAATGATTATGAACATTCCCTAATTCTAGAAATCATTTTAAGATATATGATATATTTAATTAATACTTTGTAATATTATTATAACTTGCGATATGATGACACCGATTACCTACTATTATAAAGGGATTCATGCCCTTTTATTATTCATAATGAATGCCCAAAAAGCTGTTATTTATGTTTTAATAAATAGAAACTGAATTTTAATATCATGTTCACTCACTATAAAATTTTCTTAAAATAAGTTCTACAAGGGTGCATGTTAGAGCAACACCGCATGAGCGATCTTTTCAACAATATATATGTTCTTGCTGTTTTCAATTTTCTTTCGATTAGCTGTTTTTTTCTCTCTTGATATCTCAATGTTATAGACTCTATTTATAATATGAAATAATATTTACTTTTCTTGGTTTACTCTTACTATTTGTATTACTTATTTGAAAGCTTTTCTGTGAGTAACGAAACAAATTTTCACATCCCTTCATCACGTCCATTATTGATAGGGTGTACTACCTTCCAAACTCAAGATGTAACAAAAGTATACTCTATAATTAAAATAAGTACGATTTTCTAGCGCCTATTTTGCAGGGAAAGCACCCGTATCATCCTAAGGGCGATAAAGCCATTAATAACACAACCACACCTATTTGATGTTGGAATTAGATCTTTCGTAAATGCTGTAAAAATGCTCAGAAAAAAGAGAGCAATAGATAAGAAACGATTACATATAAATTAAAATGTTAGACAATATTAAAAGCTAAATTACATGAAGGTAAACTACTATTAAAAGCTAAATGTGGTTGAGACAATATGATGACCAGCATCACCATTCGCATATAAAGCAAGAAACAGTTTGAAGCTCATAATTTTAAAAAAGGTTAAAATTTTATAAAAAGATATTATATGGGTGGTTCCCAAGCTCCCCTAGCATCTACCATATGAGGCACGCATATTATCTGGTGAAGTTGGAACTAAAATCTTTCAAGCATGGTCTTGCACAAGGATCAACTTCAGATCAATCAGGATAGTTTATATCCCAATGAAATTATGCCACCACAAACAAATATAGTATATTTGTTCTTCAAAATCATTAAGGACTAAGCTGGAATTTTACCTTGTTTTTGATCGAGCATCTACATGTTGATGAGTTTGACTATCAATGTTTCCTCTAACCTGGGATACAAGAAACGCTCTTATGACAGCCAGATCTTCTTAGGAGAATAATTACTTGAAGAATTTGTCAGGAATAAGTAACCGATTGAAAGATTAAAATGACATGGATGCTAAAAACAAAACATAAGTTATTACAAGCTTAACCGGTTTATTAATATTCCAAAGAGCAGGTGCAATAAACATATCCCAAGGCAAAAATTTTGTACAATAAGATAAAGTGCTGAGCAAGAAAAAGGCAATTTAGCAAGTAGCAAATGCACATAAAAATTGTCAGATTTTGGTCATTGAGAGGAAGCCCGAAATAGGCAACCAAACTAAAAGAATTAAGTAGGCTCAAAATTTAAAATCAAATTAATGAAAGAAAACCAAAACCAAAAATCCTTCTCAAAGCCTAGCAAGTAGAATTAACAATGACCTGCTCTTCCAAGTCTCTCAATACCGCATGCTCAACTAACCTTACAAATTTCTTTACTTAAATGGAGTTACCCCCATGGATAATTATATAGTTCTACACACAAAAACCTCCAGAGTTCATCATTCATGTATTTTATAGCAAGTATAGTTCACTTCTGAGAGGATAAAATGGAGAAACAATGCAATAGATGAAGTTCAGGAGGAATGAACCAAGTCAAAGATTTAATCAGCAGATGTAAGTTAATGGATCGCATTCAAATATTAGCAAGATCAGTGTTCCTCCTAGGAATAAAGTTCTGAACTTCTCCGATTGACATAGTATCACAGTGCAATTACCATAATCCCAACCCTACAAATCAGCAGAGCAAAGTCGGAATAAAATCAACTATCCATTCTTGTCAAAAAGATTGAGGCTTTTCATCACCTGATGCTAACTAAATAGGGAAGAACATGAATGTTAATTAAAAACAAACAAAACAAACAAATTATCAGGAAAAACTCACCTGCTCAAGGGTCCAAATCAAATGAGGCTGGAGTTTTGCCTCAAAAGTAGTAGGACCAACCTGAAAACAGAATAATTATGAAATCATATGAAGCCTTAGTTGATGGAAAACTGAACTGAGATGATATGTTGGAACAAAATTTTGTTGAGAGAAAAAAGCTGTAGTTTCAAATGAGCATTTAAAATATCACATCCAAGCCATAGTTCAAAACCAATATCTTTGGAGGCACCATATTGATGAATTTCATAAGAAAATAAGCGAAATGTCATGGATAAGAAATGGAAAGGTTTGCAATCTTTGAAGTTCGGATAACAAAACATATGCTGCAAATTGTGGAAAGTACAATCTCGAAGCCACATTACTTGGATAAGTCAATTGTATCTAGTAAGAGAATAGTTGGAAGTACACTTACTGATTGCTGTTGGTAGACCTTTTCGATTGCTTCAATAGCTGCACGCGCTTTCAAAACCGCATCTCCAGAACCACTTGATTCAACATCAAATCCTGATGCACGCCAAAGAGGCAAGCCTCCATCCAATACCCATACTTTGTCATGTCCAAAAACTCGGAACATCCTATTCATTCATCCAAAAAATAGATAAATTACTCTCCAACCATAATCTTCTCTCACTTGGCTACATTGTGAATCTACAATTGGACATTTAAATTAATTAAAGCAAACAAATTAGTAAAAGAAAGCAGGTTGAAGGGAGTTTAACAAATTCATAAGAGCTACAGAACAAAAAACCCTCGGAATTCAGAGAAACAGATTTATATTTCTCCAATGTGCATGGTTAATTTTATATTAGCTTCAATCCCAAAATAGACCACCGGCCATTCATGGCCAATTTAGCCCCAAAGTATGACATTTCTCCAATATAGTTCCTAACTATATCAAACTAAACAAAAATGCTCCACAATATAGGAATTGTGATACAGAATTAATCCTAATTTAGTCTGTCAACTATACAGAATTGATCATAATTCAGTCCCTGAAACCACTTTGGAATTGTATAGTTGAAACCCTAAATTGGAGAAATAGGATACTTCGGCATTAAACTAGCCACATACAAATAATTTGGGACTATTTTGGAATAATCTTTTTATATCAATTAAACTCGATTACATACAATATCTAAGCGTCTAGGATGTCAAACACAAATCTAATACGAGATGCTCAAAATTACGCAAACAAACACATATCACAAACAATTAGTTTTTAATCCATTCCGTTTTGATGAAAATGAAAAACATATTAAGAATCATATGATATGATAAAACAATAACTTTTGTTGTTGAAACATCATTTAGAAATTTGCAAACACTGAAACACAAATAACTCACTTTTTTGCGCTCAATTTAAACCAATATGCGCACACTGTTGGATTTTGAGTCCTCTTTAACTTGTCCTCATATCATCACTTACACTCAATAATCTGATTCGACCACACAATTAAAACCATATCCTAGTAATATGGGTACTCCTGCTCATTCTTCAAGACTAGCACACAAGCTGGTTTCAATATACACGAGTTCTGCCAATCTTTGTCCCAATCTTTGTCCTCATCATATTTGATACAATCGTTCAATCAGTTAGCCATTCTTGGTTCAATCGAATGAATCTCACCACAATCACGATCTCCATTCGAATAAAGTCATCAAATGCTTGAACAAGGAGAGTTGCAGGAGATCACCAAAGTTGAGAGGATAGGAGTTACTGAGAGCCCAAAAATTGGAAGAAGATAAGTCCTTACACATTAGTGAAACTTGAAACATTCAACTCTAATGGATTCCTTGGTCAATATTCTTATAACGGGTATGTGGATACAACTTTTATTTCCTATAAAAAATTCATAATCATCATATATAAGCTTCTCTGTATACTGTACAGTATAGCTCAATGTCCACTATTAGTAGTGGATATGAATTATCTCCAATAACTATTTCAAAAGCAAGATTGGCATGATTGTCTAAAATTGTGTAGATAATGCATTTGGATGTCAATCTAAAAGAGATGAAAAAAACAGAGAAGAAACCAAAGCATTGATTGATTGTTCCTCGTACAAAATCAAGTCAAATAAACATAATTTTTTATGCTGAATTTTTTTTAGCTTTCTAACATGTAAATATTCATTTTATAACTTTATATGATCTAACTTTCGTAGCAATTATTGTTTTGGGGACTCCTGCAAGAAATTTGGCAAGCATTAAGCAAACCATTATCTCATCACATGGTTAGAATTTTCATGTATCTCACATTCACGGTTGTAATAGACCTAATGATAAGTTTTATGTGAATATTCTCACACAAATCATGTGCATTACTAATGAATTGTGTAATACAATAATGATGACTGTAATAATAATGCTAAAATATAACAGACCTAAATTTGATACTACGGAGGTAATACCAATAGAAGATGATAATCAATAACATATATTTATTATGAATGATAAAGTTTATAGATAACTTTTTCTTCTAAAACCTAACAAACCACATATACACAATGCATACATACATCACATGAATGAATAACCTCTTTAAAGACAAGTAACTCAAATAGTTTAAAAATTAGCTATGTAAATAACATCTCTAGATAATCTAAACCTTTCTTTAAGACAATTGTGATTAATAATTTTTTTTGAAATGTTAGCGTGATTTACCTTTCCCCATTAGACTTCTTAATCACGTTGCAAATCAAGAAACTACAAATCAAAATAAACCTAATATCAATTTGATTCGTTAACATAAAAATAAATCCATTAAATACTTCATCATGAGTTCTATTATCAAATGGTTCAATCAATTTATCAACTACAGTAAGCACATTTGTTCAATTTCAGTTTGAAAGATATATTCAATTCTAATTGAAATTAAGCTCAAAAAAATCTAAAGCTAAAATTGACTCTGAGTTCCAGATTTTGATTCTTGCTCAATTCTAGATGTAATTACATGAATGTGTGCTAGTGTAGATCTTAAAGAAAATTCAAATTTAACAAAAATGTAAAATCATATTATAACTGTAATTTAAAGTATATCCATGAACTATAATTTCTTCATGAGACCAGATTTGATGAGATAAGACTTGTGTTGTTGCGTGTCTGATAGGCTTTAGATGAGCTGTTAATGTTTTTTCTTTAGAAGATGATGGATTACTAAAACATGAATTTTGATAATTTTCAATCTTAATATTCATATCTCAATATTAAGATAATTCCACAATTGAGGCCTTTCATGTATTAAAAGTTACCTAATGTTACTTTATTACAATATTGGTGTGATTAAAAGAACGTTCATTAATCCAGATATTTGTTTATAATTGATAAGACCGCAATTGACAAATTTATATCCTCGGCATAAAGTTCAAACACAGGATTTTGATCTAAAAGCTCTTATTAATTTGAACTTACCACCACACGCGTGCTGCACTGAAAATCCCTTTTCCATCATAAACTACAATACCGTCTTTGTTATGAATATCGAGAGCAGACACAGCAGCAGCAAAAGCTTCTTCAGATGGCAACATATGAGGCAACTGGTCGCAATTATTTGTATTAGTCTTTATGTTGCATCAAATAACTTAAATATAAGAAACAATAAAAGAAGGTTTAGGGCACATTTTTACATATATAAGCAAATGATAATAATAAGGTAGCATACCCGTGCAAATGCTACTATAAAAAATGGTAAAATATTTTTATGTATGCTTCAAATCCAAAAGGCATAATTTATGCATAGTATGTGAAATTTGAAAATTATCCCATTGCATCATGTATGATGCATTAATCCTGTCATATTAATTATTTAAGCTTTAAATGCAAACCATTATAGAGTGAAAATGACTTGCCCCATGTATAAACCATCTGTAGAAGTGTAGTATAAAAATATAGCTTTTAGCATTAAGCAATTAATCCAAAAAACAAGAAGCCAACAATGGTACGACACGTGGTTCTAGTTGTTTGCAGGTTATGTGCATATTTATGTGTGCACCTTTGGAGTGGGGGAAGGAGTGGAAACAGCAGTGCAATACTGAAAAGGGTACCTATTTCATGTTTTGTTTACCAAGTTGAACAAATTGAACATGGTGCAAAAAGGTTATTTGTTGGTGGAACCTAAAACACTCCGAAAATGCTAACCAAAAAAGGAAGATTATTATAGGTTCAATGAGCTTAGGATACACCACTTCATAAGGTTCAGTTGACCATCATGCCTGACAGTAATTATGAACCTAATAATAATTGAAGACTGAAATGAAGCGATAGAATTAAGAACCTAATAATAATTATGTTGATTTACTTAAGATCATAGTTTAACCAATTTCCTTTTCATTTGGATTCTTTTATTATTTTATAGTCAGCTATCCCAAAATTTTGATCTAACGTCTAAAAGGCATTGTAAAGTGATCTTCATCTCAAATACCCAATATGATTTAAGCGTTTGTTAATGTAAATCTAATAAGATACGCATAATCATTCAAAAGCACTAAAATTCGCACGAAAAAGCCCTTGACTTGGTTAATTACTCATTACTCAAAAAGAAAAAAAAATTAAAGAAATTTAACGTGTAAGATAATTTAATAGCTCTTAGGTAGAAATAACGTACAAATATTCAAAACCAAGAGAAGTAGAACCATACAATATAATGACTCATGCACATGCAAAAACACAACTTTTTAATGCAAAAGTGCATATTACAACTAATTTGAATAAAATCAATCCCATATGCAAAACTATAAAATATTTTATAAGAAAAAATAAAGTAGAATGAAAAAAAAAAAAAAAACACCAAATCAAGCCTATCAGTTGTATTAGGGCATAACTTTCACAAAAATCTTTAATCTCCCACATGATAAAGAAGAAAACTATAAAAAATAGCACATCCAACCATAAATTTCTTAGGAAAAAAATTGAATATTTTATGTCTCAAACCCTTTTATTCTATAAATAAAGCCCAATATAATTTCCAAAAAAAATAAAGAGTTAGTCATCATAAATCCATAAGTGTCACTAAAAATACATAGTGTAGAATACAATAGCCGCAAAATATAAAATGTTGAATTCAATTCTCTATAAGAACAATAAAATGCCAAACTATCCCATTGCCTATCAGACATCCAACACTTATCATAGGCCATATCTAAAAAATTCTAAAAGATAACCATAGAATAGGTTTCATATTATTTGTACAAAAACATGTGTATCAAAACCCCACTGCCGAAGAAAATCATATTATAGTGTTTCTAAGAAAACTTTAATATCATCAATTTTTGCAATGATCAAGTACAGGTCCAGGTTTGCCCCGGTTTGTTAAAAGAAGGAACTGATATGGATTTAAATGGTTCAAACCCTTGAGCAACAAATTCAACGTTATAAGGAAAAGTTGTCGATTGAAAACATTCATAAGTGATACGCCCAAAATTTAACCCATGTTTGGAAATAAGAAAGAAATTGGCTCATATATCACCCATGAGTAAAATGGGACAAAATAGCCTAATTGTTGAAAAAAGTGAGCAATGATTACCTAGATCTAAATCTAAGATTATGTTTAGTGCTGTTATGTTGATGATGCAGTTCCTTGGTTGTGTTCTATAGACAAAAATAATCATTCTCACTCAAAAATGTTAACTCCATGAGAGTTTGATATGAGTATGGAGCTGTCAAAAATGTGTGAATATAACCTAGGTGTTTTTACAAAGTTAAATAGCAAATAAGTAGAGTTAAAAGAAGACTACGATTAAATTACAATGTAAATTTGAGAATTTTGAATGGAAAAACAAAAGAATTGGCAGATATAATGATCACAGTAATAAATATTGCAATAGATTAATTAAAATGAAGGGAAATCCAAATACATTAGGGAATATTATAAGTTATCATATGTTAGAAAGATTTTAAGAAAATGGAGCAGACATAATAGTGGATAGAGAGTTTACAAATAGAATTAGTGAGCTGGATACAATTTGATTCTTAAAAAAAAAATTAATTTGGCTGAAAATAATTGGGATAGCTTAATAATTGTGATGACTATGAGTACCAAGGCTTCATACATGTCCACGGCAATAAATATTGCAATAGATTAATTAAAACGAAGGGAAATCCAAAGACATTAGGGAATATTATAAGTTATCGTATGTTAGAAAGATTTTAAGAAAATGGAGCAGACATAATAGTGGATAGAGAGTTTACAAATAGAATTGGTGAGCGGGATACAATTTGATTCTTAAAAAAAATTTTAAGTTGGCTGAAAATAGTTGGGATAACTTAATAATGGTGATGACTATGACTTCGAGTACCAAGGCTTCATACATGTCCACAGCAATAAATTTTGCAATAGATTAATTAAAATGAAGGGAAATTCAAATACATTAGGGAATATTACAAGTTACCGTATGTTGGAAGATTTTAAGAAAATGGAGCAGATATAATAGTGGATAGAGAGTTTAAAAATAGAATTGGTGAGCTGGATACAATTTAATTCTTAAAAAAAATTTAAGTTGGCTGAAAATAGTTGGGATAATAATGGTGATGACTATGACTTCGAGTACCAAGGCTTCATGCATGTCCAGCATTGCAACATATATCCTAAGTAAATAAATTGAAGTAACAACTAACAACTGAAAAAATAGCTTGAGAGACTAGCAGATAACATATATGGTAAAGAGAGATTTGTAGCTATCCTCAGCCATCGTCCAATGCCCTTTAAACAAAGAAATTGAGATACAAAATAATAAAATGGTTTGAGAATTATATATATGTATGTATATATGCATGTACGCATATGCGTGTGTGTGTGTGCGCGCGCGCACGTCAGTATTTTCATTTATTTGTGTGTGTGTGTGTGCGTGTGTATTTTGTAAATTTCTTAAGGAACTCAAAATTAAAGAGGGGAGAAGAATCAAATTACATCTGATTTGCGGTCGGAGATCCCATCAACATCAAAAAATAAGGCACCAGGAATGTGAGCAACCTGAATAAAGTAAAAGATAATATACTTCAATTAATAAGGGGAGATAACAAGTAAAGCCATCAGTAGATGTGAACTTGCCATTGATAGAAATTTTTTATAGCAGCTTTGTATGGAAGTAAGAATATTATTTAAAGGGGGAAAAGAAAATAATTTATACTGCTCGTTATCATAAATAGTTTCAAATTATGCGATGGTACACTCACTGCAGTCAACAGTAAGGATATCACACAAATAATTTGATTTGTGCGAATTAGAGATGCATCACAAGATATTATTTAAAACGATTACTGGAATTCAATGAAGTCTTTGCTATTAATTCATAAGAGATTGATCAAATAGATAATGAAAGGTGAATAAACAATTGTTTAATTATGTTAGAGAAGTTACTTGTAAATAGAAAGCATATTTTAGAAACTAATTATTTGATTTTCACTCATTCGTGCGTGAAAATCAAATATTATAAATTTTGAGCTTTGAAGGCTCTTATAGAGTTTAAATCTTAAAAGATTAATAACTAGAAACAATTATTTAGTGAGCTAATCCTACAGATCATAGAAATCATTAACCAATATTTAGTTTTCAAATTCTATAAAATAATAAAAAAAAACAAAACAAAACAAAAGAGCTGCATTTATGAAACAAAATATGCAAACAGAGCACTAAGAGAATAGTTCAGTAATTGGACCTGATACTCTTGGAAGGGATTCCGCTTTTCATCCGGCATGTACCAGGAAGCATCCAATACCTAATTAAAAAGGTAAAACGCAAAAAAAAATAAATAAATAAATAAAATAAGAACACAAACCAAATGCTCAAAATGATATAATCAAAGCCTCAAACTAACCTTCAATGCAAAAAAAAAGGTTCCAACGAAACATAAAAATCATCAATGCAAATAAGAAAACTACGAAATAGTGACAAGTCATGATGTGTATGTTTTGTCAAATTTTAATTCATATATCCATTTCTTCAATTGCAACCAGAAATAAAATAATTTGAAATAAATCAAAAGAATCAGAATGTTAAAAATATAAAGAGAATTGAATAACACCCAGATATTGCAAACAGTTCTGATCCAAAATTTTCAATTTATAAATAAAGCAAATTTCACGGAAATCACACACCTTCACATCAGGCTTCCTCAGATTAGACTGCAGCCAATCAGGAGAAACAACCGGCTCATCACGGGCCATTGAATTAAATGACTTGGAGACTTTCAAACTGGGTGATCCAGCTGCCGAGCAGTGGATAAGATTATTAGAAGAAACTAAGGATGAAAAAGCCACTCGAATAACTGAAGTTCTCCCCTGCAAATAAAAATCGAATCTTTCATGTTCCAGGAATGAAAATCAATCCCCAAAAAACGAAGTTGTTCAAAGGAATTTGCAATTCATACATGTTGGCAAGGAATATGTAAATCTTTCTAAAATTTTTCAGCAGATTAAAGCAATATGGCATACTCCATATCCTTTTCTAAGATCAACAAATCCAAATAACAGACAGAAAAATCAAATGCAAACCACAAAAGAATCAAACTTAGTAGCATCCTTTTTATTTAATTAAACTCAACAGTAATAGCGTGCATTAAAAGAAAACCCATATGAAAAATTTATTATTCCGTAGAAAACCCTGCAACAAAAACAACTCAGAAAACACTACTGACTGAAGCGAGAGAAACAGCAATCTCCTCACATCAATTGCAAATATGCAGAAAATAAAAACAACAAAATCAACAACATCGGCGAAAAAACGATATATCGAAAGAATCATGGAGGAACGATACCCTTAAAATCGAAGTGAAGGCTCTCGACTGCTTCAGTAAGCAAAGCGATGATCGAATTGATTTTAACCCGACAAACGTTCTCGTAGCAATGGAAGATGCCATGTAGAGAATCTTATACTGTGGAGAGAGTGAAAGACAGCGACCGGGTGAATATTGAGATTACCACTCAATGTTGAAGTCATCCACCATCAGTAAATGCAGAACAACAAGGATCACTGGTGCGGGAAACCCTCACTACATTTGTAGGTTTTACGGTGAGCGCTAGCGAAGAAGACAAAGCATTTCTAAGGATATAATAATTTTATATTTGAACATTAAAAATCATGATATGACAAACTAAATAGAGTAAAAATATTTAGTTTGCTATTTTTTTGTAAACACTAGCTTTAGCTCAATATATAAGGCATAGTTTGCAATTGTATGAGAAGAGAATCTTGGGTTATGGAGGTCAAGACATTGAGGGTTAAGAGTGTTTTAGAATACAAGACAATATGAGGATTAAGATTTGTAGCATTTTATGAATGTGAGACAAAAAAAAATATTGGACTTGCATCTTATTTGGTCATGAATGTTACAAATAGGAGTCAACTATGTTGATTTATGATAATATAAATGGGTCTACTAAGGTCCTGAGTAAATGTTATATGATTAGTTATGATTCACTATAATCCAGCATAATAATGTGTCATGATTTGAGTGAACCTAGACTAAAGAGCTCGAGGTTGAATGGATTTAATCCTAATAGGCATGGGATTGACTAAACGTGTTCTAAATGGTTTTCACAGTGTTCACTTATACATGCATGAGTTCTTCAACCTTCAAATGTGGATTGATTCTGGCTCATTTGACCTTAGAATAATATAATACTAAGAAGAAAGATCATGTGACTCATTAGATTTATAAAGGGCTATATGATGACTTGAATTTACCCAGAGTGTAAATGATTATTTTAGGTCAATTATGAGGGTTCGATATCATCAAAATTTGCTTTAGGCTAACCCAAAAGTAAGTTGATCTTACCATAAAGGTGGCTCGAAATCAATATTAGTTGATGGTTTTATTAGTTAGTTAGATTAGCCCATATCTCACTAATATATATTAGGTTGACACTGATATGTACAGTTCAATTGTATGCATCAAAGTATTTAGAGCAAAATTATAAAACGATGGGTATCTCAGGGGGATGGTACCAAGCCTAACCTACTAGATGTGTTAATGAATCGTAGGTTAATTAAGAAAGGAGTATGTGCGTATTGCTTGGATCAATAACATATTCAGAGATAAGCTTAAATCATAGATACATTAGGATGATTAAATAAAACTAGCAAGAGCTAAAGGTAGCAAGTGGTGGTGGCTCTTTATCAGTCGTTGTTAGTAATAGTTTCAATTAGCAAATTGAAAATATTAAATTATATATGACAGCAACACGACTTCAATAGATATTTGATATTAATTTTTTTGCTATTATATTATTGATAATAGTTCAAATGAATTTTGTTGCTAAAAATTAGGTTACTCAATATAAGATTACCTACAAAATTTTTATAATGTCATATTTCTTAAAATTTGCAAATCCAATCATCTGAGTACCAACAATTCAACACAAGTAATACTAAATAGAAGTATATAGAGAACATATAATCATTTGAAGTTAAATTATCATCAAATCAATTATTTTGAAACAAGCACACCTTAATAAAATGTGTGTTAAGTATGGAGCCCGGTCCGCCCAACCCGACTCCCGGTCCCATCCCTTGTTTCGCGAAGCTTCTCGCCCTATCGTCGCGCCTCTCTGTTCGATCGCGAAATTGCTCCCGCCTCCGCCTTCTCCAGCGCGCGCGAAGCGAAGCTTTGCTTAGTCCAACGTCTCCCTCTTCCTGTCGCGATAAAAGACTTCGGACGGCTCTCCTTCAGTTAGAGAAGTCACAATGTTCTTCTTCGAGTTTCCTCGGGATGGAGGAAGGAAAGTGCAAGCAGTGTGTGCGTAATTGTGAGAAGGAAGAAGAAAAAAGAAGAAGAATATTGTTTTCCCTTGACTTCTTCTTGGTGGCTTGTGATAGAAGAGAAATTGAGTTTATTTCTCTTATAAGTTTATCTTTTTCGGTGTATCTCAATTTAGAGTTTATTTGGTGTATCTCGGTGTAGAGAGAGAAGAACAGAAAGAGAAGAAAAGAGAACAACGAAGTGAGAATGAGAGATTCCTCTTGTAAGTCGATGTGATCGACTGGTGTAAATTCCTCAAGTAGTAAAAGCTTTTGCAACTCCTTAGACCTAGGCAATTTGCTGAACCACTTAAATCTGTATGTTATTTTCTAGTGTGATTTTTATGTTCTATTTTTCACTTCGTTGATCGTTCTCCTGTTTGATTTATATATATACCACAAAAATTGGTATATCTAGATCTCGCAACAACAATGTGCTTCATCAATGGAATGCTTGCCACTTATAAATGCATGGGGCAAACTTGAGCTATTACTTTGTTGCGTGCTACTTGAAGCTACATGCAAGGGAAGATTTCTAAGTTGATTCAATGATTTTAATGTTTGCTCGTAAAATTGAGCTATTTTTAGTCATTGGAATTGATGTAACGAGAAAGTAAATTCATCTAGGCTATAGTTTTAACTTTTTAACTGAAATTAATATTTAATGCACTGAGAAGCAAAGTAATTGATCAAATGATTAGTTTTACCATCCAATAATTATATTTGATGTACATCATATCTTATATTAGATTGAGAGCAAATTATTAAATGAAAAGGGGGTACATATAATCATAACCTTTGACATAGTTATAAACCTCTAGAGTATCACACACAGTCAAATACATAAGTATCATAATGGTGATTAAAATATTGCATATCAAATAATATAAAATTAATCAATAAAAAAGCTTTTAATTTTGAACATTTTCATAAACACCAAAGGAGTTATTTGATGTAGGCACCATAACGTCCAAGTTTGTTTAGTCATGTCATATTTGGCTATATGATGGAATTTTAAGTTATTAGGACTTTATGCTAAAACTTTATATTTTGAATTCAACTTTGTTGGATATTTGTTTCTTCATGTTATGTTTTTAGCCATTCTAATTTCATGCCTCCATAAGAATATCACATCATAAAAAATGGTGATAGATTTGATACCAATGATATGTATGATAACAATGATAGATATGAAATGAATAATGGCAGGTGATAGTTATAAATTTGGAGGTTGACTATATATTTTGACCTCTCCAAGTCATTCCTAAAAATTGAGAGTTTCATTTAATATTAAACACATGAATTTTAGAATAAAATTTTCATCTTGATTTTTCTCACTCTTCTTCAGTGATTCATATTACGAGTATTGTTTAAACTTATAATTTCATGATATTTAAGGAAGAAATTCTAATCGACAAATGATATCTCCATAATTATGAATTATTTGTAGAAGTTGATTTCAACTTATTCATGTTTCACCATTGGTATTCTTAACAATGGTTATTTTACTCATAGTTTTCCGAATCCTCATTTATACAATCTTAGAATTTGAGCATAGTAGGCATAAAAATGACATTAAGCATAACAATGACAATAGCTTAAAGCTGCGTTTGGTACAACTTAAACGCCACCGCCTGTTTGGAAAGACCAATCGGCATACGTTTGGTGAAACTCCGTTTTTATTTTTGTATTATACACGAATTGCGGGGTCCTACCCGCGATCCGCGTTTAATGCTGTCGAAAGACCTGATGCCCCTCCCTCTCCTCTGCCCTAATTTCGGTCGTCTGGATCTCGTGCACCCGTCTCCTCTGCCATAATTTCATTTCGCAATGGCTCGATCCAGTGCGTAGCACTCCTCGGCAATCCTCCGTCTCCACCGTCTTGTGTTAGCTTTTCGCTCCTCCTTATTTTGATCGTTCCTCCGTCTTCCGTTCAGAGAACTCCTCCATCTTCCTTTCGAAGAAGTCCTTCGTCTTCTGTTATCGTTCTCACTGGTTGATTGCGTTGAGAGTGTTAGTAATTTTTTTTAAAAAAAATTCAAATGAGCTGTCTCTAGAAAGCACAAAAAACAGCTCCAGTTTATTCAGAATAGGAGCAGTTTGGTCATTTTTTCATAATCAGTTGTTCTCAATAAACACAGATCAAACAGACAGACAGATTATCTGGATCAGCTGTTTATCACCAAATTATCAAAACAAACAACTTATCATGATAAGTTGGATAAGCTGCAACTGACCCAAACATACCCTAAATCAGTTCAACCGCATCATTTATTGTTATTATATTTGTGTTTAATAGCAATTATGTGTTTATTATTATTCACATGCAAAAATTTTAAAAGAATTGCTGGTGTAATTAAAGTCATCACATAGTAAATTAGAGTTGTCATGTATCATTCTCTTTTTTTTTATTATTATTGTTACTTTGGTTGAGTTTTTTGTCTTTCAAACGGAGTTCTGAGTCTTTTTCTAAACTTAGCCAAGTTAAGGATTATTTTTCCTCCCTTAAGAGATTAGTCGTCCACTTGAGGTTTTTCACTCTCTATATTTATTTTCTCGTGAAGATAGCGTTCTTTCGAGGAATCCAATATGGCCGTCGCTAATCTACAGTTTGTGTCAAGCAGCTTCCTCCTACCGAATAATAGGTTGAGCTCCTTCTACACTCATGGCGTTTCAATTTTCCAAAAGCCCGTTATTGGCATGGACGTGGGATGCGCAGGGGCGAGAAAAAGCAGTGTTTTTTATGCAAAAAGGTCGAAAATTGGGATTATTAATGCTTTGCCCGACGGAGAGGTTGAAGCCCCTTCGTCCAGTAGCCAATTTTTCGAGAAAGAGTTCAAATTTACTCCCACATTTGATGAATATGTCAGAGTTTTGGAGTCCGTTAGAACTGACCGGAGTAGGATTTCGAGTGATGAAGGGGGTTTGCCCGGCTTGAAGAAAATATCTGCTCGCAGGCATGCATCGACGGCAGAGAGTGCTGTAGAAAAGAGGAATTTGTCCATATCAAAGAAGAAATTGAGCAAAGGAAAGTTTTATACTGAAGAGAAAGTCAGATATTCGAAAGATGCCGGAGAAAATGCACCCAGTTTGAAGGGTGGCGTTTCTGAGAAGAGTGGTTCTACATGGACTCTGGTTGAAGAGATTTCGGAGAAGAAAGTCAAGGAGAAAATTGTTGAGGGACAGAAAGTTGGTTTAGAACGCAGAAGCAAAAATTTTAATAACGGAAGAAATGTATTGCATAAGAAAACCAAGGATAATAGTAAAGTTGTTCAAGATGGGATTTTTGAGAACAAGAGTAAGAGTCAAAGGGGACACGAAGAATCACAAAAACTTCATCGTAATTTTAGAGGTGCCGAGGAGTTAGAGAATTCTATGGCCGTAAAGAATGAATTTGGGCGTGTTGACAGCAGAAGGCTCCAAATCACCGCCTACAGAGCTGGCGAGGATTTGAATGGTCAAATATATGATGTGCATAAGAATACCAATGATGCTGAAGAAGTTTTTGTCGATGAAATGTTGGAGAACAAGAGAATGAATGAGCGGAAGCTGAAAGAAACAAAAGTGTATAGGAAAGAGTTAAAAAGTTCAGAGGAGTTCAAGAATACTATTTCTTCGAGGGATGAATTGGGTTGCAGAGACTATGGAAAGCCCCTTGATTTCAGAAGATTTAACACAAGTGATAAACCTAGTAGAGGCAAAGTGGAGGCTTTTGGGATGGGGGGAAATCAACATTTCCAAGCTATAGATTCACAAGAACGTGGCTCAGCAAAGGAACTTTACCATAAAGGCAGCATTAGGAGAAGTGCCAAGTTTCTTAGTGATATAATTGAAGCAGGAAAGCCCAACAGAAGGGCTCCTGTGTCATCAGGGAGATCAGGCAGAACTGATGTCGCTTATCCTGATGTTTCTGAGGGAGAGGTTGGTGGTGTTACGCTGGAGAATAGAGCCGCTTTCCGGACATTTGAGGTATTTACAGATGTGAGGAACAGGCCACGAGTATTGAGAATGGAAATGGAAGAAAGAATCCGGAATTTAGCAAAGTGGCAAGTATTTTGATTCTAGAGTAAATTAACAAATTTTAAAAATATTTTTGGCCTTCTCATGCAATAATTGCAATATGTATAGACATAGTGAATGAGTGATAAGGATTTGCATAGATTTAGATAGTTATTTCATTTTATTTCTACTTACATTCTACCTAAACTCCTCTGCGAAACATTTGATTGTTCATGCCTAAACATTTAATTAACTTAACTAGGACATTAGAAAATTTTGATTTTTCACTTTTTTTTTTATTTATTTTTATGCTGAAGGTTGAATGCTAGTGATTTAAACATGCCAGAGTGGCAATTTTCAAAGATGATTCACAGCACCAAGATAAAATTTTCGGAGCACTCCATCTTGAGGATTGTCCAAATATTGGGTTCATTCAGAAACTGGAGACGGGTATTACAAGTTATTGAATGGTTCCATTCACGTGAACGTTTCAAGTACTATAAGAGCAGGTACTCTTTGTTGATTTATGAAACAATGCACAGTTTCATTAAATCTTGAGATAAAAAAATGAGATTTATTCACAGGAAAATTATTCTAAATTTGCTTGCAAATCATAATGATATTTATTACAAGAATGGACTAAAATTTTCCTGATGTTTTGTTTATGTGGATGCTGGTGTTAAGGAATTTGTTTACTTAAAAATCTGGTTTGGCCATCAACACCTCGTCATATCTATAGGAGTTGACACTTTTTTTTAAACTGGCACGCATGTGTACTCATAGTTGGAAATAAAGAACACTAAGTGATGACTTAGATATCCAATGAATATTTTAACCTTTCAACATCTTCGATCTTTGAATTTTTCAGTAAGACTTCTTCAAGCGATGTATTTTTTTCACCCACCATTTCCTATTACAGCAATATCATCCACATGTATGAATATGGCAGGATATTCTTTCTTGAAGAATGTTCTATTAAGATAATGTGATCTTCTTGACTAGAATGTCATTATTAACATGTCTTTTGTCGAGTCTTCCAAACCATGCTATTTGGGATTGTTTGGGGTCATATGTTACTTGTTTTAACTTGCATTTTTTAGAGCCATTAAATTCTGTCAAATCTCGGAGGAGGTTCTAATTTTTTTTGGTCTTTAAGACATTTTCTTACATAAAACTATACTAGATTCAAGTAAAGAGAGGTGGGAAAAGGAAAGCTAATCCATACAATATTCATTTTCCCCCTGTATAAATACTTCATGATAATCCATCTCCATATACTTTTGCTATCGGTCTTGCTTTGTATTTTTCCAAGGACACATCGACTTTGTTTTTCAGAGTGTGCACCTATTTAGATCTCGTTGTCCATTATTCTTTCTCCGTTAAGTGAATTTTATAGGTTTCAAGAAATGCTAATGGGGTTAGTGCTGGAAAGAAATCTTTGTGTCGAGTGAATCGGTTATGAAAGGAATGTCGAGAACTATGATATTGACATGTTGGGTGCAACTTCTGATTATTTTTTTCTTATAACAATGGGCAAATCTATGTTGGGTTCTTTATTAACATTAAATATGACGGAAGAAGAGGAGTTCATGGATAGTCATTCGCCTTGAACCTGCTCTTGATGTTAAATCTCATTTTTATGGATAATCCATGGCCACAAACCTGCTCTTGATGTTAAATCTCATTTTTATGAATAATCCATCGCCATGAATTTGATCTTCAAGCACAAAGATTGTCTTTTTGTCAAAGTTTAAAGAACTATATTTCTTGAAATGGATTTCATTTATCAATTCTTCTTTAGTAGCTATTATAAAGCCATATATTGACTTACAAATATGGTGAATCAACTTGCATGAGGGGAATTCCAGTGGGTGATCGATCATGAAGAAAGCATTTTGTATTGAACGAGGGAGGAGGGTCTTGAGGACTCATTGATGAGTTTTAAGACAACTTGACTTTTTCTAAGACGGGGGAGAAAGTAGGGCTTGGTTCATGCATGGGAAAATGATGTATTCATGGAGGAGAGGTGAATTGTAAGGATTTTGAGTGATATATCACAATTTCATGAAAATTTGGAGGTTTAAATTATATAATTTGCAAAGTTTTCTTTCAGCAAATTTTACATGTCAACGAGCTGATTTTTACTTATTTGTACAAGGTTATGTTATAGAATGATGAAGTTACCAAAATGTGATAATACATAAATTTTTATCTGGTTTGGCTTCAAATTTTGTCAAGGTTTGGGTTTTTCTGTAATTTGATGACGTTTGGGAGGATTAACGAGCTCTTTATAATCCTGCCTGGATTCATACTCAGGTCTTGTTTACCATGATAACATACTTAATTACATATAATCTATGTCTTGCAAACTAATCTTAAAAAATGCTCTTGCAGCAGCTTGTTTTTTTGCAAACATTTTATTCCATTCCTTCTTGGTATTTTTGTACTGACCGCTTTTTTTAAATTTGCATTTATAGATCATCTAATTGCTGAATACTTTGAAATTCCGTTATTTCTGAGACATTCATGGCAATGACTTTTCTTTGTCTTGATAATAAATCACTATCAACCTTTTCTGTTTGAAATCGTTTCTTCTCTCTAACTTTTGTTAGTTTGATATTTAAGCACACTACCAGTTTAACTTCAGCATAACATTTCGTTTCACTTCATTTCTTCTCCTTAGATACATTTATACAACTGCCCTCGATGTACTTGGAAAGGCCAGGAGACCGATGGAGGCGCTGAACATATTTTATGCCATGCGGGTAATGAATTTCATCCTGATTAATCAATGCTCGGCTTATTTGTTAAGTTTTCCTTTGCAGAAAAGTAATTAGATTTCAATTATTTGCAGAGAAAATTATCTTCCTATCCTGACCTTGCAGCATATCATTGTATAGCCGTTACTCTGGGTCAAGCTGGCCTCATGAAAGAATTGTTTGATGTCATCGATTGCATGAGAGCAGTACCTGAGAAGAAGTTTGACTTGGGTCCCCTACAAAACTGGGATCCACGTCTCGAACCAGATCTTGTTGTGTACAATGCGGTAATCGGCCTAGCACAAATAATAACTCTTTTTGAGCTTTTCTGCGGATTATATACTTTTGAAATTGGAAGTTACCGTTAAAATTACATTGTAGGTATTAAATGCTTGCGTTCAGCAGAGGCAATGGGAAGGGGCATTTTGGGTTCTGCAAGAATTAAAAGTGCGGGGTATTAGGCCTTCAAGTACAACTTATGGGCTCATCATGGAAGTAATGTAGTTTGGACAACAACCTCTCATGCTAGTTCCCTTTCAAATTTAAAAATTTTTACTCTTTGAAGATTAAATTCTATCTTTTTATTGAACATTAATATGACCATTTGTGGAATCCTCTTTGATAAATGTTCTAGTTAAAATTAGCATTAGCAGTAATAGTACGAACCATAATGCAAATTTTTATCTTTTAGAGATTTTTCTAAACAAGTTAATCTATGTAGCTTAATTTCTGCAACCATTTTCTTGCATAGCAATGAATCTCAATAAGGCTGTATTTGTGAGAATTAATTTCTCTCTGTCAATTGTATAGGTTAAACTAAATCATTTTGAAGAATAACCCGTGCAACATTTCCATGCATATACACCCTTCTTGTCATTGAAAATTTGACAGCTCAACGGCTGAACTGAATGATATTTTAAAGTTACACATTCATCCCAAAGACATGTAGAGTTACAACAATGTATATCACAATTATATACCTATCAAACAATACTCATAACAACTAAGTCCAAATAATATCTATAATGGTGATCCATCAAAATATAAATAAGATCTAGTTATTCCACACATTCATCTTAGAGGTTCTATGTTTCAGTATAAGTTTGCTTAGCAACTCATAACTTAGATACGAAGACCTACAAACTTTATTGTTTATAGATTGCTACTTTACTAACATGGGTCGTGTAGTCGTCGCGAGACCGTGGATACCTCAGGACCCAATCGATACGTGTGAACTTTGAATAACCTTTTTCTCCCTGAATACATAGATAATTCACCTATAAATATGTGAGTACACGAGATAAAATGAGGAAAAAAATCTCCCTACAATTAAGTAATTTCTATAATTATGGAATAAACATAAATACCTATAATTAAGGAATTGCCCTTTTTATACCATGACAAAATATAATGACAAAATATAGCAAGATAGCAAGTACTAAATAGAATAAAGTAAATAATAATGAACATAATTTCACACTCCCCCTCAAGGTGGGTTGTACAGATTGTACATGCCCAACTTGTTGGTTAACTCATCAAAATTGGACTTAGGGAGAGCTTTGGTGAGAATGTCTGCGGTTTGGTGTCTAGAAGGAGTATAGACAACTTCAATGATTCCATTATCCACATTCTCTGAAATGAAGTTTCTATCAATCTCAATGTGTTTCGTTCGGTCATGATGAATTCGATTCTTTGCGATACTGATTGCAACTTGATTGTCACATAACATCTTAATAAAATCCACAGAACATCTTGATAAAATCCGATTTCTTATTCTCATAAGAAAATAATCAATTTGTGCTTTATTAGATCCATTCTTATAAGTAATAAGATGCTCGTATCTTTTCTTAAATAAAGTATTAATAATAATAAAATCATACGCTACATTCTTCATTAGTTACTACAAAATTGTAACCACCATGAGTATTTCTGAAATCTACTACCACTCTACCGACATGTCCATTTATATCTCCTCCAATAAAAATTATTTCTTCAAGAATTGACTTACTATACTTACTATAGCAATCTTCTTCTCGAATAGTTCATGAATTGACTTACGATACTTACAGTAGGATAATTTATGAATTGACTTACTATACTTACTGAAAAACTTATGTCTGGTCCGGTGTGGGATATGTAAATAAGCCTTCCAACAAGCCACTGATATCGTCTTTTGTCGACAGGTAAACTATCATTCTCCATTCCAATCTTTTTATACGGGTCTATTGGAGTGTCTATTGGTTTGCATCCAAGCATACCAGTTTCTTTCAATAGGTCCAATGTGTACTTCCTTTGAGTTATGGCTATCCCCATTTTGGATCTTGCAACTTCCATTCCCAAGAAGAACTTCAAGTCTCCGAGGTCCTTGATTTCGAATTCATGGGCTAGGAACTTCTTCAGCTTTGTCAATTCTTCAGTGTGATCACCGGTAAGAATGATGTCATCCACATACACACTAAGTACAATAATCTTCTTCTCAGATCTTTTTGTGAATATTGTATGATCAGTCATCAGTCTGGCTTTGAGTATAACCGCACTTGATTATGGAATTGGTGAATCGGGCAAACCAAGCACGGGGAGATTGTTTAAGACTATACAGAGATTTCTGGAGTTTGCATACTTTGACACTAGGGAAGGACCCTTCAAGACCAGGCGGTAAATCCATGTATACATCCTCTTCAAGATCTCCATTAAGGAATGCATTTTTGACATCAAGTTGCATAAGGGGTCAGTCTCGGTTTGCTGCAATGGAGAGTAGGATTATAATGGAGTTCAGTTTGGCTACTGGGGCAAATGTCTCTTGGTAGTCGATTCCGTACTTTACTGCGGTATTGTTTGTGAATATGAACAAAGACGGAACAATGTATTTGACAGATTTGGGGCCTAATTTACTGCGGTATTGTTTGTGAATATGAACAAAGACGGAACAATGTATTTGACAGATTTGGGGCCTAATTTACTGCGGTATTGTTTGTGAATATGAACAAAGACGGAACAATGTATTTGACAGATTTGGGGCCTAATTTACTGCGGTATTGTTTGTGAATATGAACAAAGACGGAACAATGTATTTGACAGATTTGGGGCCTAATTTACTGCGGTATTGTTTGTGAATATGAACAAAGACGGAACAATGTATTTGACAGATTTGGGGCCTAATTTACTGCGGTATTGTTTGTGAATATGAACAAAGACGGAACAATGTATTTGACAGATTTGGGGCCTAATTTACTGCGGTATTGTTTGTGAATATGAACAAAGACGGAACAATGTATTTGACAGATTTGGGGCCTAATTTACTGCGGTATTGTTTGTGAATATGAACAAAGACGGAACAATGTATTTGACAGATTTGGGGCCTAATTTACTGCGGTATTGTTTGTGAATATGAACAAAGACGGAACAATGTATTTGACAGATTTGGGGCCTAATTTACTGCGGTATTGTTTGTGAATATGAACAAAGACGGAACAATGTATTTGACAGATTTGGGGCCTAATTTACTGCGGTATTGTTTGTGAATATGAACAAAGACGGAACAACCAAATAGTTTGGTAGGGACAACTGAAGAGAGTGTACAGGTATTTGGAAAGGAGCGAAGGAGGACATCAATTGGACTACGAAAACCCAGAATACGAGAGGGCATCCGATTTATGAGGTAGCAGCGGTCAACGTTGCTTCGCCCCCTATAACATTTAGGGACTGATGTGGTAAACATGAGACAGCGGGCTACCTCCAACAAGTGACGATTTTTCCGCTTGACAACCCCATTTTGCGGGGGAGTATCAACACATGTGCTAAGGTTAAGGATGCCATGTTGAGTAAGAAAATTTCTTATGGAGGTGTTGAAAAAATCTCGTGCATTATCTGTTTTGAGAGCTTGGATTTTTGTGTCAAATTGAGTGAGTATCATTTGATTGAATACACGAAATATTGGTCCTACCTCGGATTTGTCACGCATAAGATAGATCCATGTCACCCGTGTATGATCATCAATAAAAGACACAAACCATTGGGCCCCAGAAATATTTTTTTTCGTGAGGACCCCAGACGTCACTATGGATCAGAGAAAACGGGCGAGTGAGTTTGTATGATAATCGAGGAAATGAAGTACGAGTGTGTTTGACAAGTTGACAAAATTCACAATTAAAAGAGGTAGGACTTTTATTAATAAATAAATGATGGAACAGTTTCCCCAGGTACATAAAGTTAGGATGACCTAAACGATAATGAAGTAACATGATTTCACTATCATTATTAACGCTAGAATAATATACAGATGTACTAAG